AAACTGAACCACAAAGGTGTAATGAGATGTTTTCAGACAATCATATCTTACCTCGCGCACATTTAAATGTATGTCTTTGTTATTCCGAGGGTGCTATACCAAGGAAGTTATCGTAGGAAACGTGTTACGTAATACTGATTGGACATGGGCTATACATGCGTGAGGAATGATTGTAAAATGTTTTGTACTTGCAAATTTATATCGTTCCCTCAGACCTTAGATGAAATGTGGTTATTATTTTAGGTCCTTTTTGTTCATATAGCTCTTCAACTGTTTCGGTTCTTAAACATCCTTGGCTTTCAAATATTCGGCTTTGATCGTTCCTGATGAAGGAAAACCCAGAAAAGACAATGTAACTTATAAAGTGATGTTTTCATTCTTTGAAACAAATGGTCTCCTTTTTATACCGTAACTGCTAGTCCGTCCTTTGGAGCACCATTTGTATAAAACGATAAAACGCCACACATTATGCTTTCTGTTGGCGTTTTCAATATAAATACCTTGATGATGCAGTTTTTTAAAATCAGCGCAAATTTTGTAATTGTCCACTTTAACGGTTATATTTTGTCTATATCACTGGCCAAGAGTATTATATACAGAAATGCATCGTCTGGTTATATTTTTGTTTGAAAATTTTCATGATATTATCTAAAAAAATATGTTTCTTCCACCACTTACCGTCGAAAATATTTACCAATACACATAGACTGTCTTGAAGTATTATTTTTGACGGCTTGTGTTGTTTGGTTTCTGTCTTATATTGAAGTGTACATCACATGTTATTCACATGAAGAAGGACGTAATATTCTTGTATCAAACTTCTCATGTTTCATACCTCAAAGTGAAAACAATGCAAATCAATTTAGATAATTATATCCTTCATTATCTAAGATATACATGATGTGATTGGTCAGATCATCCATCCCATTGATCAAAGAAACTTTGACCTTTGTTGTTATGACGTGGTCATGACGTGGGATGCATGTTAAGTTACAAATCATTTCTTATTAATTGCATTTCTTTTCATATCAATAGTATTGTAATTTTAAATTATGACCATGTTTTGATGATTTAAACTATTGATTTCTATTGTTTTGACGATTCCATGTTTGGTAGAACCACGAGTTTTATGTTTGCACAAAGAATCGAATGTATCCATTATGAATAATAAAACCCACTGATTTGACGACCAATCCCATCTATATGGCCTACCTTATAACTTCACTATTATACATCGACATTTATTTGACATCAAAAAGACGGAAATATCAAATTGTGGGCAGGTGATTGTGATAATTGCACAAAAAAGTGCAGAATCCTGTTCTTTGACCATTCATCCCTATTTTTTGTGTTTATTATAAGTTCTACGGACGCCATCAGTATTTCGTTGACTGTTATGGAATATCTGTATCATAGCTTATCACACCCAGTTTTTGGTGGGGTTCGTGTTGCTTAGTCTTTAGTTTTCTATGTTGTGTTTTGTGTACCTTTTGTTTGTCTGTTTTCCTGTTGGTCTTTTTCTTTTTCAGCCATGGCGTTTTCATTTTATTTTCGACTTATGAGTTTGAATGTTCCTTTGGTATCTTTTGCCTTTCTTTTATCACGAATATGTTCAATATGTCGAAGCCAGAATCCCGCCCTCTCTAAGTTTCTTCTTTCCTCATATAACCGGTATCTGAATAATATAAAAAGTGTTTCGTGTTTATTTTGTAAAAAGGTACTTTAGATTTAAAAGAAAAATACAATAATAGCGGAAATAACTTTAAACTGTGTTAGATTTCAATGTTTTATTGATTATAGGGAATTTACATGATTTAGAATGAATTGGATATTTGTACAAAGACAATTACGTGATGGATTATATCAAATCCCTCATTTTATTAAATTTGCCATACAAATATATCAAGTTTCCTGATCAAATTTTCAAAACCTGTAGGCCATTTTAATAAAAATCTTTGTCAAGAATACTCTGTCAACCTAGCCGAAATGATGGGAAAAGAGTGCTTTATTCTTTACCTTCACACGAATTAAAAAAATATAAACGTTAAATATCTCCTGCACATAAAAGAGGGACGAAAGATACCAGAGGGACAGTCAAATTCATAGATCGAAAACAAACTGACAAATGGTGATTTTTAAACAAAAAATATAAGATGCCGAATTTATTCTGTAATCAATACAAATCATGATGAATATTTTCGATTAAAGGATAAGAATGCAGAATCATCCATAGTTACCTAAGTCAGTAAACAATAAGTGGAGATTAAGAACAGCAACAAAGCTCGGGTTTCTTTGCTTTTAGTCTTGTCTAGTGTGTGAAGAGAGTTTGTTTCATGAATCAATTCATCATTCCATTTCCATTAAACCAGACATTGATTTAACAAAGTCGGTATTGAATAAAACAAAACATCATCCAAGATTGAATAAAAAGTGAGTTGGTATACGACAGTGATACAGCGATCCATTGCACAAAACATAAACGTCACCATATCGTCGTATTAGTCTATTAGTTTCCACATTAAATAAAAAAATATAGATGGCTATACTTGATAGGGAAAACGGTACTATTTATTCTGCCATAGGCGACAATATCAACATTTTCTAAATTTACCACTTTTTATAATAAAAACCTGGACAAAACAGTTATGTGTGGTGTTAGTACTTTATTATTCTGTTTTAAAAATTTAAGCCAAATAGTATCATGACCAACTTCCAACGGAAAATAGTATCCATGCCCACCGTCATTTTACACCAAATTTATGAAATTTTGGAAGTCTTTTTGAATAATTCTCTAGAAAATATTTCAATGGGTTTCAAAATTTATATTGTTAATATACACACTGCAGTTATTCATTGATAAATAAAAAAAATATATTGTACCCTTACACCCATCACAGCTCTCCAAAAGGCCAACTTATGTTGGGAAAATGTAATAGTACTATTTTCCCTGATACGACACTCCTGCGCTCTTCCATTTTTATTTTATAAAACTATACGGTTCTATCTCCGGCTTCCCATTGTATTATAATGGCGGAATTTCTGAGAAAAATAGTATTAAAGTATTTCAGAAATGTTTGCTCTTCAAAAATAATTCTTAAAATTCTATTAGTGATGCTATTCTTAAATTTTCTACACAATTTGACCTTAATCTATGAGTAATTCTCAACATATCATGCATTGCATGAATTTTTTAAAAAAAGTCTAGTTTTGTCTACAGAATGAATATTACAGATATAAATTATGCACCAAATCCTTTTACAAAGGTTGAGTAAATATACATTAATATGCTTGTTGGGAAGCTTATTGTCTACTATTAAAGCTTATCTATAACAAATTGATTTATACTATTAGCTTGTAGTCTGAAATGAATTCAGTGTTTAATTAAGAGTTTTACCGTAATCAATATCGCACTAAGCTATTTGGTTTTCTGTTGAAAACATCTGCTGTGATCACTACCAAGTTCCTGTGATTGATCTTGATACTGCGGTGTTTGTCTGTGTAGTTCTAAATAATTAATCTGAACTATGACAAGACATCCTCCAATTAATGAAACGTGTCAATTGCACAGAATAAGCCCTAAGTATACTAAGGGAAAGACATTGAACAAAAGCATATTGGATTGATTCAATATTTCGACTATTGTAAATATAAGTTTGCCATAAAATGATACGGTTTGAATTTCAGATCAGATTTTTATATTGCTAATATTCTATGTTCCATCCATAGTTTACAGTGCCAACAATAACCTGCTTTTGGCATCGCGACAAACCTAAAATGTTTTATAGATACTACTGACTATACTTCAGTGTTTGTAATTTCTCTAGGATGAATTCAATTGAAATCTTGTTAATACATAATTTTGACATTATAATAATTCTATACATGGTTAACAAATCTTTGCATAAAATATATACTTTCAAAAGATAATTTCAGTCCTGGAGCACATCTTCACAAAAGCTTGCGCTAATCTGTTCAATTACGTTATTTACAATTTACTAAAAAGTGAAAGATGGAAATACATAGTCACTCTCAGTTCTAAGTATTTTAACAATGGAAAATAGTATCAGGCTTATTAGTTTCAAATCAGGTTTTCTTTCTTGTTGTAAAGATAAAACATCAGAAAAGGAAACGCCACATTTTTAATTTTAAATGAAATGCCCTATGTGATAAGGGACTTTCCGTATTGAATTTTTTTTGAAGTTCGGTATTTTTTGTTATTTTACTTTTTCTATATAGTTAGTTATTATTACCTTGAAATCTCTATACATAACTTTTAAGTCGAAACAAAGGTGTTCTTTATTCAAATTTACAAATAAATGAACATCTTCTAGTTAATTGTGTCATTTTGCTATTGTCTCATCGACGTTTATTCCACCTCTCAATTAGATATATTTAATACAGTTAAGCCTGAAAAGAGAAATAGATATCCAAGAACATGTCATATGTCTAGATTTTAAAACTCTCTAAAGATACCAGGCTTATAATTCAATACGTCATACGCGTGTTTTGACTACAAAAACTCATATGTGACGTTCGTATTAAAATAGTTTGATGGCCAAGATCAGTTCTGATGTTGAAGAGCATTGAGCGAAAAGTCAAAAGTTGTTCCAAATCTGGCTTAGGTTATCTATTTCTGGTTGTAGAAAAAGTTATTGTTTTGAAAGATTTTAACGTTTCATTAACGGTAAAACAGGGAGTGACTGTATCGTTGATATTTCTTGTCAGTACACGAGCACTAGCTATTTGGCTAGTGATACTCTCGACAACGAAACGTCCATCAGCAGTTGCATCGAAATAGTGGTTTTAAAACTTAGTAAAAGTTTCAAGGATTGTAATTTAAAACTCTTTAAAATCGTTTCAAGACTCATCAATGTTGGTAAACCAAATATTTCAAAAATATAAATCGTGTTCCAATATGATTACACCCTGCATTTTAACAGATTAAATCTATATTTTGTATTTGTTTGCACTTCTAATAGTTGTTATTTTACTTATTGTAGGTAATTTGCCAGAATGAGAGAATTTTTGTTATTACCGGTTATTCTTACATTCCTACAATTTAGACAGAATCAGTCATTTTCTGTACAAAAACGACACACAAAGTCAAATTCAGATTTAGATAATGCTTTAGAAGTGCTGAGAAGAAAACGGAGACGGATTGATGATTCTAATATACGAACAATGTATGGAGATTTAGCAAGTCAGTATTTGCCTTATGATGAATATGTTCCAGGTGGATATAACGAAGATGATGTTGGAAATGAAGATCTAGCAGATCAGTATCAACTTGCTAAAATCCTCAATTCATATCAAGACCAATATAGAGATGACACCGATAATACTAATACACAAGATCAGTTAAGTGAAACGGAAACACCAACAATTGAAGAAATTAAAGAGATGTTTGATGAGATTGATAAAAATGACGGTAAGAATAAAGTTGAAAGCTCAGATTCAAAATCTGATAAGAAAAGTGATAAAATTTCACAACAACAAATGGACGAACTGTTATCTGAAGCAGCAAAAGTTCCCACTGATAATACAAAATCGTCAGTAGATGAAAATAGCAAAGAAAATACACCAGAACCGGTTTCACCTGACGAACTGAAAGATGTCTTTAAAGAAACGAAAACACAGAAACAACAAGAGGGTCTGGGGAATGCAAAAGTCGGATCAATTAGTCAAGAATACGTTAATAATAACCAAGGCAATTCTTTACTAAAAAAGAAGAAACGTATGACAAAGCGAGATAACAACTCAGGAAAAGAAGAAGAGACTAAAGATGAAATGCTTTTAAATCTTGTCCAGGAAGTACAAGAACTACGCGGCAAGGTTGCTAAACTGCAGCTTGTAGAATATCTTGAAGACAAAGAGAATGATTACTTAGCATCTGCTTTGAAAGCAGCTACACTAGCGCAACTAGGTAAAGCTGAACCATATCTTGAAGATGAGTATGGGGATATTCAGAAAGCTCTCGATATAGAAGAGACCCTTCAAGCTATCAAAGAAGCAACAGAAAATCCAGGGGAAGACGAAGAGGCTCCAGTACAAGAAGTTACTGAAAAACGTAGTCAGCCGCCTTTCGAAGATAACCTAGGTTTGTGGTATGATGAACCTGTTCCTGGCCAAGATCAAGGTAATGAAAATAAAGATATAGACATGGCTTAAGTGAATATGTTCAATATTGTAAACTTGAAGATGGCTATAAGGAACTATTCACAATAGTTGCATTTCTTCGTAATAACGTCCTTGTATGGTAAAAAAGTAAAATAAAAATACTGAACTCCAAGGCAAATTCAAACGGGGAAGTCCATAAAACTGACAAAACCAAACGCTATCAATCAATAGAACAAGTGAAAAACAACTGCCATATTCCTGTCTTGGCACAGGCATTTTTCGAGGGAAATGGTGGGTTAAGCCTGGTTTTATAGCTAGCTAAACCTCCCACTTGTATAACAATTGTTTATAGGTCCGTTATATTGACAAAATTGAGTAAGCAACCCAAACAGACATAATAGGTTAACGTGACCATTATTTGGATCCATCTGTCAAAACTGTGTACACATACATAAAGACATACAACTCAACTTATCATTGAATTTGTACTAACCATGAGGAACATGATGGGTGCCACAAGCGGGACAGGGTCTGCTTACCGTTCCGGAGCAACTACGGTAATATTACATCCAGTGTGGTTCATGTTGCTCAGTGTTTGGTTTTATATGAACTGTTTTGTGTATCTATTTGTCTTTTGTCTTCTTTCGATGTTTGCCACGACGTTGTAAGTAAGTCAGTAAGTAAGTAAGTACATTTTATTTAGAGACGATAATTATGTCCACTCAACAATAAACATGAGCTTGCTTTTACAACCACCAACTATAACACATGTACAAAACATCACAATAAGGTTTCAAATAAGAGAAATACACATAAGCATAAAAATGCCAGCACACATTATTTTAGATAAGATAAGCAAACATAAGCATAAGATTAAGTTAAAAATAAATATGGATCAAAAGCACTATAAAAATGTCCAATCAGCACATAAATAACAACTTAAAACAAAGCATGAGATTATGGCAAAATTAAAAGTTCACAACAAGCAGAAAGCACTATTATTAACTTAATGCAAGACATGTAGCTAACAAGCATATATAAAAAAAGCAAGAAGCAATCTATAGGAAACACAATATTTAATATCATGTTTACGCATATTTAGGCGCATCTAAATTGAGATGATTTTTCCCATAGTAAACTTTTATGTACCAACATTAGAGCTGGTAAAATTGAAGTCGTAACTTCAACAGTTTGACTGGTACCTTGATTGACTGTTACTGAATATCACAATTGATAACATATATGCTGCAATTGTCGAAGCAATGATCCGGTTATTATTTCTTAGTTGATGACTGAATACTGATACGACTCAAAATTCGAGTTTACTTGTCACGAACAATACGATGGGTACTTCTATAAGAACACGAACTGCAAACCCTTCATAATCAAATATGTTTGGTTTTTTCTCCTTTTTGTCAATTAGGGGTTGCCTTTGTTGGCATATTTTCTGCAGGAATCGAGTTGCCTAACCTTCAGTTTTTTATTCTTTTCTGTTGTTATGGTTTTGTTTCTGCCCTGCTACACAATATGATTTATTGTTGCCCCTTGGTATGTTTATAAAGTAGGGTAGCAAGAATGTGTAATACACTTTTAATGATAGAGTATTTCATTCATTAACGCTCAAAAGATTGAATTCCTTATTTTGCAACTTAAATTTTCTCTCTATCAATATGTTTTATCACAGCGTACATAAAGGAAAATACAATTCGATTACAATACCAGACATATGCATTTTAATGAATACTTACAAAGGATGTTAACCTGTATTGTTGAATTGTTTACAGGAGATGCTCAGCAGAAGTTAGAAGACTTTGTAAAGCAGTACAGACAAAGATATGATGTTGAAGACGATAATGAAAATGGTAGGAATAAAACCATCATATATTCAAATGTTGTATGCGAGGATAAGGGTTTTCCAGAAATATGAAAATCATACTTACCTAAAATGTGTTTTTTTTTAACTTTCACTTGGTAGGTACCGCTTCAGGTAGACATACCATTAGTCCATGTTAGTTCTATCTACAAAGTAGTTAGTCCTGGCGTTATTTTTAGACTAAAACATTTGTTTAAATTAGCAATTTAAGTACTTTATAATTGTACTAAAACCAATGAAACTAACTACTCTAAGAAATGTTGACAGTAGATGATTTTGACTGAACTATTTATGTCAATTTAGTTGTGATGCCCATTTGGTTTCGAGCTTACCGTATGAAGGTTTCCAACAGGTATCGGTATCATTTTTTTATAACCGCCTTTGATGGACCATCAATTCCTGTAGTACCAGTAGCACTAACTAGCCAGCACTTTTTTGCATAGTTTCAGGCAAAGGACAGGGTACGATAAAGGCCTTTTTTGGTCTTACGTTTTACTGAAATTTGAACTTTTAACTAAAGACTTCTATTTAAGTCTTTTTTAAAGTTGAGGTGTGGCAAAATTAAAAACCAAGAATTGTTTATCCTTGTAGTCACGATAAATGCAGTTTTGATGTCACGAAAAGTGTCCTTTTTCTCATTTTCTTAAAAAATACAATTTGGTCATTTTTTGCATAGTTTTTGGACCCGGAAATAATATAGAGTGCATGCAAGCAACAACTAAATAGTAAACCACAATGTTTGTCTATGTGTAACAACTTTCATGTTAATATTTTTGTGATCCTTGCATGCACTTAATATTTCTCAATACTAATGTGTGTGAAAATATGCATATTTGGTCCTCTTTTGCAAAAAAAATTAAAGTTTACTATCTTTACACTATAGACTATGGAACAATTTGTACCACATGTTTTTATACTAAATGTTGTTTTAACTATATAACATATAATTCGAGAGAGAGAAAATGTCCATTGATTGTGAACAATTGAAACTGAAACAAGATTGAGTACTTTATTGGAGACAAAAGTTTAGTAATAATGCCTTTTTAGTTTCCATATATCTAAGTGCCTCAGTCATTTGGCGTCAATGGCATATCTTCGATAGCTCCCGTTATTCACAGACCTTTTGGTTTTATAGCTCCTCAAATGTTTAGGTATTTATACATTCTTAGCTTTCACGTGTTTTGCTCTGAGCGTTCGTGCTGAATGTAAATCCAGAAAAGCACAGGATTATTTTTAGAATTGTATATGGTAAAGGCACTTACCCATTGAACTCTTCATTTCTTTTTTTATTGTGTTTTTAAATCGCTGTTTCATTCCCATATACCATACACATATTCTTTAATTGCTTTTAGTCGCGATTAATATGCATCAAATTGAATATAGTGTGGTTATCAACAATTAACGACTACTGAAAACAAAAATACAAGAATATAATTTGATTTGAATTAGATAGGCTCTGAAAAATCGTTGACTAGAATAAAAGGTTAGATTACTTAAAGAAAAAAAAAGAGAAGGCTTGAAAAAATTTTGCAATGTAATAGGTCAACATTGGACCTTACAAGTTAAATAAGGGTATTGTACGTGCAGGGAACATAGCATTCTTCAAACACGAGGTATTAGACTGATTTCTACATACCGTTCGGACATGGCTGAGTATTTGTAGATCCGTCACAACAGACCGGACACATATACAAACGTGTTTTACTGCTGACGGAAATGTTTGTGTGACCATGTCTCTTTATCCCAGGCAACCTATATGACAACTGATATATTTTTATATCTTCAATATGCACTATTCTGTTTTTATTTCAGATGTTGAAGATGAAAGCATTGTTCCCGAAAACATTCCTGTTCCAGTCCTCCCGACTACAGAGGGTAAGATGTATTTTACAAATCGAAGAAAGAACGCACGCGTGTTGGTGGCCATCATCAGTTTCTCAAACTAATTCTCCAAATACAATACAATTGCATACGTCAATCATTAATTAACAAAGGAGGCAAACACTTTTGTTTGTCAAATAAAGGCAACAGTAGTATACCGGTGTTCAAAAGTCATAAATCGATTGAGAGAAAACAAATCCTGGTTTCAAACTAAAACCGAGGGAAACACATCAACTATAAGGGGAAAACAAAGGAACAACAGGAACACTGAAGTGCAGCAAAAACAAACGCCAACATACATAGAAACGAACTATTTGATAACAACTGCCATATTCCTGACTTGGTACAGGACATTTTAAGAAAAAATGGTGGGTTGAACTTGGTTTTATGGCTAGCCAAACCTCCCGCTTATATGACAATGTTAAAAAAAAATATCGCTAGAATGACAACACTACGTGGCAGAAATACAGCACAAACACACGCAAGAACACTCATCACAGAGAAATGCACAAACAAATAATATAATAGTCGACACAACATGCAAACCGCAAAACAACAACGAACATCTTCCATCAACGACAGACACATTTGTTCAACAAATACAGAACACATATCTGTTTGCTGCATTTGTTCAACTATATGTTTAAAGAGTTAAATACAAATTTGAGGGGCGTTTACTTATATCAGCTGAAATATTCAAATGTCCAATTATGATAGACTTACATGTAAAACAGATTAAAAACGGACGGAATAACAAAACTACAAAATGAAATTCAAAATTCAAAAAAAAATGGCAGTATGCAAGTTTTAGATGCATTAACAAGACAAAACCGGTAGTTATGATAGATTGACGATAAAAAAATATGTTCGATCTTTGACAAAATTCAAATATATTACGCGATTGTGGAAACTAATACATAGTAATCATCGACCGAATCTTGTAGGCGACCGGGGAACTTTAAATCGACCATTATCATTCCCTTTTATCTGAAATGATAACAACACCTTTTTTGATGGAAACGTCATATTGAAATTGGCGTATCACATTTACTGAGATACGTATCGTAGTTAGCTATAGTTTATTTCCAATCCAGAATGAAACTGTACAAGAGGAACACTGAAATCATCGCTTTTGATCCAAGTTTTAAAAAGTCTATCGGCGTGAGATTGAAGATCATGATTAATGTTTCTGTAGTAGCCTTAGTTAATTTATGTGATATACGACAACTCGTTTCTGAGTGTATAACTTCAACTTCACACAACTTCGTCCATCATTAGGTCAAAAGAAAATGTTAAAGATCATTAGGAGTAATCAACAATATCAACTTTACTTTTTTGAAAAATACTGTTCTTTAAAAACAATAGTGTCTTTCAATTTTTTTTTGTGCTTAGGAAATATCACACTACATAGCCATTTATGTCCCTTTTCTGTACTGTATCTTTTCAGAAATGATCTTAAAATGTTCTACGTTCTTTTGTGTATGTAATAATTTAAATAAATATTTATTTTTTGTAGATATATGTCCACAGCTTGACCTTCTAACTTCAAACTGTGAGGTTGCTTCTTTACTTGATATAGACGATGAAGCAAGAGATTTGTGTAACAGACATGAAGTTTGTTATATCTGCGTAAGTAAACTAATATATCATAGTATTACCGAAAAGCAAGTTATGTTCAACATTCCCTAGATTTGTGCAAAATTTATTATATTGGCGGCTTGTGCACGGAATCCCAATTACTGGTTTCCAAATAGATTTGGTTCCAAAAGTTAATAAAACAAAATCATAAAGTTTAAATAAAAAGTTACCTTTTTTATTTTATAGTCACCAGAAATCCGATTTAAACAGTAATACATGTATCCATATTCTTAAATAGAGACGTAGTTTCAATGTAGTTTCTAGCTATAATAATTAACAAATTTATAAAGAAACTCTTATTCATAAATCCTAACAAAATCTTTCACTTACTGATGCTATATTGGTCATCATGTTATTTGATTTTCTTCAAAAACGACAACAGGCTCCCGACTTAAGACTTTTTTTTATAGTAATGATGTTAAAATCAGTTTCAAAGACTTGAATAAATTTTTATAGATTCTAAGGTAAATAGATATTCTGTATATTTTCATATTTTTGTTGATCTGATATGTAAAATTTATCCTGCTCTTTTATTTAAAGTTTACATCTTTGTTGTCTATTCGACTTTAAAGATGACAATTCCATTAGTCCATCTATTAAATGGAACAATCATAAATCTCTTACTTCCTAAAACAGGATTACGGATAAAGTTCTGCCATGTATTTATCAGAGGATTTACCGTATCTTATCATGTTGTGTTACATGGTATCTTAGTCTAGACGCCATATAATTAACCATCGAGATGACCTCCGAAGACTGCCGACAGTCACATAACCCGAAATAAACATAGACATAAATATAAATAGATAGCGATCTCGTGCAATTGGACTTTTCTAGGTCTGTTTGATTTCATGTTATAGGTTAAAAAAATAAGTTAATCATCGTTTTTACCTGTATAAGAATGATTTTTTGTGGATCGAATCAGTCAACGAAATGGTTAATAGTAACCTCTGTTTCACTTTCAATGTTGTCATTCTTTTCCTTTTAATGACTGAACACGACTAATACATGCATAACCAATCTCTAGCTAAAGGGTTAAATTGAAAGTCACATGAATACGGATTCAATGAGGTCGAATTATTCACTTGCAAGTGAATAATTCATCAGCGATGTTTCTTAGCTTATTTTGACAAAATTGAACTAAACTGGCTGCTAAAAGCGAATTATTATTTCACTATTTCACTTTCATTAATGATTGAAAAAAAATAATCATATTTCTTTTTTTTTTATATCTCGTAGCTAATGCCCCTTATTAACACTGTTTTTTTCTTTGTTATTTGAAAAGAACTGCAATGATGTCTAAAGTTTTTCAATTTTAAATTAATTGTTGGGTGAGTTGACATACATTTACATCAAAAGATTTTCTACATTATTATAATCCCGCCATTGTATTATTGTGCTATGGTAATTTTTTGTATTCTTTGTCTATAGAGTGTATATATGCCAGTTTGTTTTTCTTTGTTGACATAGTCGTTTGTTTTTATAGTGATTAAGATTATAACACAATGTTGACTGCTGTACCCAAATTTTTGACATTTTTACCTATTATGTCTGTTTGTTTTGTTCACACTGTTGTCAATATGATGGAATTTTATGCGACTGTCATACAAGTGAAAGGTTTAACTAGCTATAAAACCAGGGTTAATACACCATTTTCTACATAAGGAAATACCTGTACCAAATCAGGAATATGACAGTTGTTTTCCATTCGTTTGATGTGTTTGAGCTTTTGATTTTGCCATTTGATAAGGGACTTTCCATTTTGAATTTTCCTTGGAGTTCGGTATTTTTGTTATTTTACCTTTTTTTTGTAATCCGTGAACGAATGCAGAAACCGTTATCGTTTGGGAATTAGCTTAAAGCAATTGTACGTTTATAACACTTTTTGCTCATTATCGTCCTCCGATTTCAGATGATGATTTCGAAAATGTTTTATATGCCATTTTTAATGTGAAACTTGATTCATCGTATTCATGATACCGATGTTTATTTATTTCTAGCCAACTTTAATGTTTTCTTAGTCATTCTTACAAGCATCATCATTGAATATTATTGTTCAGATGAAATTGCTTTCGTAAATAAGATTGCGTTCTTACCAGCAAATGTTTTCATACTAAGGAAGAACGATCTCAGAACGTATTTCTGACTGACGAGTGTTTAAGGTTATCGTTTTGTAGCACAGCTAATTTCATCTGAAGTTTTGTTTTTTCATTGGGATACAGTCTCGCGTTCGAAAGACGACCAAATCATGTTAATCAAATAGAATTGTTTTCTTTTCAATACTTGACATTTAATTGTTGACTTTTTATACATTGTGACTTATATGGAGAGTTGTCTCATTACCATACGGCCTTCAAGAATGAGATGAGCAAAATCCATACCATATAAAAGGTAGGCATGACAAAATGTAAAAGATATTTAGAATGATATATATTACAAGTATAATATTTTTTTATGAACGAAAATGTTTATTTCCTAGGGTGCAACTGTAGGATTAAATCAGCAAGATTGTGATACTGGATTCCGATCAGAAACAGTAGAAAGATGTAGAACCAGTCATTGTATCCAGTCCGGAGCAGAGTTCTTATGGTTTATCAAACAAGACCATAAATTCACCAACAGTTACATTGAACAATGTGATGCTGCATGCGTTAAAAAATACATCGTTGGTCAATAGTATTCATCATTCAAAGTTCGTAAACATTTCACACTTGATAATGAATATGTGTGATGTGATATACATGATAATGAATGAAATGTTAACTTGCATAAAATGCAGGGTTAACATGAAAGGCAAACTGTCCAAACTTATTTTCAAATTTCATATATTATTGACAATGTATATACATACTGAAAAGGAATAACTTTAATGTCAAAGTGTACAACTTTTTCCCTCATTAATTTAATTCTCTAAATTACAATCAAACAAGCAGAAGTTTTAATATTGACATTTAAAGTGCAAACGTTTCGCAGTTAAAGAAAAATACACCTGTTTGTATATCCTTTCATTGATTGAATATCTTCTTGTACTCTGAAATAGCCAAATTATAAAGAACGCGTCTTCGACCTACAACACATTTCAGCAAAAAAAAAAAAGAAATAAATCTTTAAATATAGGGTACAGGTTATCATGAGCACTATTTATCCTAATCTCGCTGCAACGATTTTTCAATTTTTAGTAAAACTTAAGAATTGAAAAAATGTATAAAAATAAACGCCAATTACACAAAGCATGTTGCGACGTCTTAATACCTCTTAATAAACTTCAATTATTTGCTTATAAAGATATATGTTGTGGTAACTAACATTGTGTGTTTTCCGCTCTCTGCAAAAATAGAAACGTTTTTTGTAGAAGAATATATATGCAGTATTCGTTTGAACTCTATTCCTAAGTAACTTAAAGTATTAAATTCTGTAACCAAAGACGGATAACTATTTTCCGTATCATTAAAACATTTATCTAAGAATAATTTAGACATTCAACTAAAACGTGAAACAAAATTAAATTGGAAAATATTACATACATTTCAATCATACTTCTTAAGTTTGTCTTTAAAGCAAAGCAAATACACAAACTAGAGATAGATTTTATATTTTATCAATAGCTATAGTCTAGTATTTGTATGCTTTGTTACCAATGTTTTTTTCTGAATAAAGAGATTTTGAACGTTTGATGTCTGTAGATAGAGTATCGTACGTTGCTTTTTCATTTGTATTGATAAAACATCTTGTTTTAGAATTTTGTTTTTGAATTTTGATAAACCAATAACATCAAAAGCAAAATGCAATAAAAAATTAACAATGTTAAATAAAAGCAATATAAAAATATACCTGCAATTCGCACCCGTGCATATCAAGACCGGATCAAATTAGATGTTAAAAACATAGCTGTGTCATTTAACTGGTTTTGTTTTCGTCCATATTCAATTCAAGTTTTGGGAAATATAGATACACATTCCCTGTTTTGGGTCATGAAAAATATAAATTTGTGAAGAACCACAGCGATTCCTTCGAAGTTGCGGTAAAATGAAATTATAATGTCATACATTGTAGTATAGTCAAGATATTCTGCTGATGCCCGATTTGTTCAAAAGTTTTATCAAGAAAAACATAAGGAACAGTTACCATTGTCTCATACTGTGAATGTACGACATTAAATGTGTTTATTCCAAAATACACCATAGTAAATTCCCCATATTGTATATATTTCACATATTGAATACTTATTGTATACGAGTACTTGGTATTCGGATAGATTTGTCTTGACAAAGATGACAAGAGTTTGATCTAGAACTATGATAAAATAAAAAAGAAAAAATACAACTGTTAAGGGACCGTAAAATGAGTTCAACCTCTCTTTTCTAGAAAATTCTTGACCCAATCAGTAATTAGTATCTCCCAGTTATAAAGATATTCCAGAGCTTGCATTTCCGGAAATTTTACGGACGCCATCAAGAATTGGTTGACCGTTATGGAATATCTGCTGCTTAGATAATGACGGATATGTTCCAATTGGTGTAACCAAAATCCCGTCCTCTTTTCCGAGAATGTGACCTTCCGAATTAGACTTATCACCAGATGTGTACTTACATGAGCAATACGAAGGGTGTTTCATGTGGAGCAGGATCTGCTTACCCTTCCGCAGTACCTGAGATCTCCTCCGTTTGTTGGTGGGGTTGGTGTTGCTCAGTCTTTGGTTTTCTATGTTGTGTTTTGTAGACAGTTTTTTGCCATGACTTTATCAGTTCGTTTTCGACTCATGAGTTTGAATATCACTTTGATATCTTCCACCTCTCTTTATGTATCAACAGTCTCAAATTGTCCCTTGTTGCTAAGTTATTGCAGGTTTAATTTTACTTTTTATGTGCCCACGTCCATATTTCATTTTACTTCAACTAAAATGGAACGACAAGTTGAGATTTTTAATATTAGAGTTTTACCTACCAATTAATATTTGTTTAATTAGAATATAATTTGCGTTAAATAGTTTTCATCACAGACATGAATGTGATCTAGAATAAAACATCATTGAGATGACTATCACCTTACTTGTCTTACACACCGGTAAATACCATGGTATCTAATCAGTTTTAATTTTGTAGTTAAAGTGCTCTTTCAAAATACTCATAATTAAAAAGAAAATTAATGTAAGGATGGTGGTAGAAACCTCACCGGTAGGTATAACTCTTTAATTAAAAATCTCAATTTAGGAACAAATGATTCCATTTTTAATAATATTAGTTATACCTTCGAGTGAGAAATTAACATTTTTCTAATTAGAATATATCCTTTTATTACAAGGCAGTGTTGAATTCAGGCAAAAAGGCGGTTGTTTAATTTCCTTCTATTCAAGAAAATACAGTAGTACAATACCCCTACCCGGCTAAAATTATGCCATCATAGACATAAATTAACCACTATTTAAATCTATTAACATATTATGCTTAAAATAAACGAACAAGACTTACATAAAAGCATGTGTATGCTTGAACTATTTTAAAACCTGATTAGCATCAAAGTTTCGCAAATAGAATCTACTAAGTAGAAAGTAAATTCAACTGCCAAGTTTACAGAATTAAAACTAATTTCAATGAAGGCCCCTTGTAAAAGTCAAACTCGGAGTAAGAACACGCATTAAATGCACATTTAGTTTCATATTTTATCTACGCATTATTATAACTGACTCGGCATTCCAGCTTGAACTAGTGAAAGTTGACACCTGCTCGTATGACTCATTGATTCCAAGAACAAGTTTAACTTCATCAGATTCCTTCAATTTTGCCAAAAATTCTAGTTTTTCGAAGATATCGAAAGAGTCCGTTTTGAATCGATCAGTTTTTCTACGGAAACAAACTATGTACCAATATTTTTTTCCCAAAAATTCATCTGTTGATTTTGTTTTGCTGAGGGATGTCTTACGAAAGTTATACCCTTACTATAAATTTTCATTGATTCATCATCAATTCTGAGACTCTGTAAATCACTTTTTCTTTAAAATGTAATCATGGCAACTAAAAATACAGTTTTTAAAGTAATATACTTTAAATCAATTTCCGGCATAGGCTTATATTATTTCTTTCCAAGAGCCTGTAAAAGTACTTCTGTACTCCATTCTCATGGTACAGTTTTCACCTTTAGCGGTCTCGAATTTAACACATTCTTTATATGTCGTACCATGTGTGGATGCTGACTTACAGGACTATTTTGCACTTGAGGTAACTCTGCAAATTATACAGATCAGCAACCTTATACCAATCCTACTGGTTCTATCCGTTTATGGTCGGTCGGGGAGGAAACTTCCACCAGCACTGGCATCGACACAGTGGTTGTATAAAAACTCATCAAACTTTCTGTTCAAAATTCGAAACTCCCTGAAAATATGTTTCCAATGTGATTTCAATAACCTGTTATAGCACTAGTAGTTGGTCTAATTGGTTTTCGACAATTGCAAATATCGCCATTTCAGCGTGTTTGATGACTTTATTTCCTATAAAAGACGAGATTTCTGGTATTGTGTCAATGGGACACTGGCCAAAATAGTTTGTGGACAGGCCTCCAAAAACTCAACAGAGAAGAGAAATGGAATGTCTAGACGCATGATGCCAAAACATCTGAATTCAGTCTGGCCCAACAGATTTGAATTCTGTAATTTTCTTATGCTCTCTATAGTTATCTTATCTATATAAAAAAACTCCCCCAATATAAAATTAAGGAGATGAGGTATAATTGTCAATGAGACCACTATCCGTCAAAGTTCAAATGAAGTGGATGTAAACAATAATAGGCAACCGTACGGCCTTCAACAATGAGAAAAACCTATACCGTATAGTCGACTATAAAAGGCCTCGACATGAAAATAATGAAACAATTCAATTGAGAACACTAACGACCTAGTTTATAACAAAACAATTTACAAAGAACAAATATAACTGACATGAACCAGCGACAACCACTGAACTACAGGCGTCTGACTTGGGACAGGCACAAAAAGAATGTGGCGAGCTTAAACATGTTTGAAAGCGCCAACCCTCCCCTAACCTGGGACAGTGGTGTTAAAGTACAACATAAGAACACACTTTATCAAATGAGTTGAAAAGGGCATGACTTATCAGATCGATACAAAGCAGAAAAACAGCTAACAAAAACACAGACCGGACGTGGAGGAGTATTTATACAACCGTCACAACAAAATAGACTCGGGGTTTCTGACAGCTAGTTCAAAGCCAATTACAACAACTAATAAAAAAATCATTTATCTAAGACCAAAATATCAGTACACATTCAACATTCAATGGATTTAGTGTAAATATGTCATGAACAGTCAGAGAAAAATATGACTTTGTACAATGCCAAAATATAGGCATCGACAGCATTAATACCGTGTATGTGCATATGTGTATAACAATAATATTAAGTATGGTTTTAATTTACTGATAACAAAATCAGTATTTATTTACCAATAAAAAAAATATTCAAAGATTTAGTTACAGTGTTGAATTGGTAACCTTTTAGAAAAAGTTTATTTAAGGGATTGATAAGTAAAACCCTGATTGTATCTAAATTTCCCTACTCGGTAAACATCATCACCGTAAAAATTAGGATGTGCTATTCCGTTTGAAATAAGTTTTCTACGGGTACAGCCAAACTTCCAAACCATTTTTTTGTATCTATGGAAGAATTTAGTAAAGGTTTTAAGTAATTTGTGGTAACGAAATCCCTGACTTAACAATTTATCAGTAATACATAGATTACGCTCATTGAAATCCAAAACGTCATTAAGACACGGACACGAACGAATTGGGATATATGATTAACACCGTAAATTAACGATAGGGATAGAAAAATCGTCCCTTTTGTCGTAAATGTTTGTGTAGAGTTTCTCGTGTAAAACTGAAATATCAAAATATAGGAAAGGACTGGTATTGCTGTTAATATTTGTATTAAAGTAAGTTCCTTTGGATAAATTTCGGCAGTATATTTAGAGAATTCATATTATCTAACGAAAAATTTCATCAAATATGTTATCACTTGACTAGAAACTAGGCTTGATTTTTCTGTGTTTATCATCAAGCCTGGTTGAACCAACAGATAGAGACATTTCATGCGTTTTAAACTGTATCTGGCCTTGATTCACTTTCAACAAATCGTTTAGATACAATGATATTCTGAAATATTGGGCTTTGCGATCTGCAGCTACCACTGTCACACGTTTAATAAGAATTGGAAGAGCGCAAGCTAAATTTTTCTTAACAAAACTCTTACTATATAGAAAGCTGTATAGTGTCCCGGCATAACAAAAAGGAAATCAATTCCAACAAGAAATCAATCTGCCTACTTTTAACAAAAGGTGGCGGAAGGTACACATGGGAGATTCAAAGCTCATAAGACGAAGAGAAACTAATAACGCCATAACGAAATATGAAAGACAGCGGAAAAAGAAACAATTCAAGTTCCCAAAAACAACAAACAAAAACCAAATTCGACTAACAGTAACCAACTACAACCACTGAATTACAGGCTTTAGACTTAAAACGGTTTTGGTAATAATTCAAACACAAGTGTTTTAAAGATTGAAAAAATGAATAAATGTTTATATACATTCTGAGGCACATATATATGCTGTTCAAAGTAACCTGTATATTTTCATATTTTTTGTGATCTGATAAAATTA